TTCTCCCCAAAAGCATTCACCCCCCCCCCCCCCCCCCCCCCCCCCCCCCCCCCCCCCCCCCCCCCCCCCCCCCCCCCCCCCCCCCCCCCCCCCCCCCCCCCCCCTTTTTTTTTTTTTTTTTTTTTTTTTTTTTTCTTGGTGTCTATGTGTGTGCGTATATGTGTTTCTGTTTTTGTGAAACAAAAAAAAAAACACTCATTTCATTTTTTGTTTTTGTTTTTTTTCATTGTATTTACGTTTTTGATTTTTCTTAAATATACTCAAAGTTAAAAAAATAAAAATAGAAATATGGGGTTGTAGACCTCGTACAACCCCATATATATATATATATATATATATATATATATATATATATATATATATATATATATATATAAGACAGGATTACCTGACCGAACGTTCGGGGGCCCCCGGGCTGGCCCCCGAACGTTCGGGCGTTCGGGGTCCCGTTCGGGGGCTGAACACCTCCAGGTTTGGCCCCTGCCAAAAAATGTTTCGGGGCCTAAAAATAAGTTTTTTTTTCTGATTGTTTTTTTTTGTGCGTTCTCTATGATGTAAGCTAGACGCCTATAAATTTTGAAGCCATTCTGCTAAGCCAAAAAAACATTAAAAATCGTCAACAATGGGGGTGTCAAAACGTGCTCGCCCACTCACTATTTTGTTTTTTTTCGCTTTTAACTTTTTGTTTTCACTTTATTTCGGGGCCTAAATATTTTTATTATTTTTTGAAAATATTTTAATGAGTTATTGATTATGTAAAATACATATCTGTAAATTTTCAGGGTATTTGTCAATGCCAAAAAATAATTAAGAATCGGCAAAGATGGCGGTGTTGAAAAGGTGCTGGCATACTCACTCATTTTAATTCTCTTTTATTTTTTCTTATTTTTATCATAGTGTTTATTTTCTGTATTGGATTTTTAATTCATATTTGGTAACGAATTTGGATGTTTTGCCCAGGCAAATGTTGTTTAGTTTATGTTTCTCCATAACATATTTGTTTTCCGGAATTTTTTGAAAACCTTTTGTTTTTTTTTGTTTTTGTTTTTTTGTCCGCGTTCGGCCCGAACGGCCGAACGCCTTCCGAAGGGGTCCCGTATGTTCGGGCGTTCCGGTTCGGGCATTTGGCCCGTCCCGAACGCCGGTAACCCTGTATATATATATATATATATATATATATATGGATTAGGTTTAGCCCAAGAAAGAAATCATCATGGACCTCGTTTATACCTATCAAATGGGCGTTTCAATGGGGATTCAATGCGGATTCAACGCACGTTGAATCTTTGAACTTGGATCCCCCGTTGAATCTGTTTTCAGATACACAGACTACATACGCCAACCAATATGGCATAGGCGCGGTCCTTGCGCAAAAGGAGGGGAAAAAGTTGAAGCCCATCGAGTATATGAGCAAGAAGATGCCATCTCAAAAGTTAGCAAAGCCTACGTATGAGCGTGAGCTCTAGGCCCTTTATAGAGTGTTGTTCCATTGAAGACACTATCTCCTAGACAAATTCTTCTACTTGAGATCTGACCATCAAACTTTGCGCTCGATCAAGACTCAACATGTACTCTCTTATGCACTCAAAAGGTGGATCCAAGTGATAAACATGTATCACTATCAGTTTGACCCAAGAAAGAGAAAGTATAACTAGGTACCTGATGCACTATCCCAAAGGGCAGATTATCTAGGCGCAAAAATAACCGAGTTTGGTATATCTGACAATATAACTCGATCCGTGGTGGAAGCTTATCAAGAGGATGCGGTTATGTCAAAAATCATCCGTAGGTTAGAAGTGAAAGATAAAGCAATTTCTTACGAGTTTACGATGGTCAATGGCTCGTTGTCTCTTAAAAATGCTGGGAATAAAAGATTGTGTGTCCCTGATAGGGAGTCTTTCCATAGTTTGTTTTTAGGAGAACAAGTAGACCCGCCGCAACTACGACAATGACAAAAACATTTTGCGACGCAGAGCAACCATCAATTGGATCCCATCTTTGCAATGTACCCCTACCGGATGGTGGCCAACTTTGCAAAATACCCTGGCAGTTGCCAAGTTCTCGTAGGTGCAATTGCAAAAGGGCAAGCAAATTTGCACACCCACCTGACAGGCAAATAACACAAATATGTCAGTCCAAAAGACTATCCACTGTGCCCATATCTTTTAGGGACATTTTGACATTTATCTCAACTTATGGGGGTATTTCGAAAATTACCCC